TCCAAAGCATCCTGTGTCTAATAGAACCCTCTGTAGTAAAGGGGTGTCATGGGTTCAGGAGACAGGTGTGAGGGTCCCGAAAGAGAGGGAAGGAAGCAGTTCTTCAGAGTGAATGAATCAACTCTGCCTCAAAGGGCGCAGAAGAGAAGGAGACAAACCACAAACACACAGTAATTCCATAAAGGTCAGCCAAACAGAGAAGAATAGGTTACAAAACAGGCAATTTGTCCATAATGCTATCAGCTGCAAAGAAACAGCAACAGAAGCCGCACAGGGTTTTTATATGGGAAAGCAGACATTGTACTTTAACAACGGAAGTAGGCAGGCCTATCACACACAGCAACAGGGCCTTGGTTGTGTGTGGTGGTCGGTCAGTTCTGTCAGTCTGACACAGTCCAGAATCACCTGGGAAGATGCTCTCAATGAGGGACTGCTTGATCGGGGGTCTGTGGGCATGCTTGTGAAGGATTTTTCTTAACTGGCTTAATTGATAGGGGAAGATCCAACCTGAATATGGACAGCACCATTTCACGGGCTAGGCTTTGAACTGTATAAAAGTGAAAACAAAAACAAAACAAACCTAGCTGATGAAGTGGGCATGCACATATTATTCTGTCTTTGCACACAGACATGCTAACTACATGAGTTAGTTAGTCAAGTCTGCCTTGACTTCCTCAAAATGATGGACTCAGACTTGGGATTGTAGGCTGAATAGGCCCTTTCTCCCCTAAGCTGCTTTTTGTTGGAGTATTCTACCACACTAACAGAAATGATCCTAGGATTCATAGAAAGGCATGACCTTTCTGAAAATTAATCTACACCCCATCTATACGAAAAAAATCTATATTTGAAATTAAAAGCAAGACTGATACTAAACTTATAAATAGTTCAACGTAGAGACTAGTCAACTGGAAAAAGAAAGTGAAGTATACCCATCAGCTTTGCATCACTATGAGAGATTACCTGACAGACAGGCTAAGTCCCAAGTAGAAAGGTGTAATTTGGCTCATGGCTCTGGAAGTTGAAGTCTAAGATTGAGTGGCTGCACTGTTTTTGGCCTATGGCATGGTGGCATATCCTCATGAGAGCACATGTCAGAATGAGTGTCCCATCACAACCAGGTAGAGAAGGGACAGGAGGGGTCTTACCATCCCTTATGGGACCTTGGCCCCAAGAACTTGAGGATTTCCCATAAAGCCCCACCTCCCAAAGTTTTGCAGAACCTCCAAGTACCTCCATCCTGGGGACCAGGTATTTATATAGACCTGTGGAGGACGTTACCCACATTCAAATGATAGCAAGATGGGAATGTCCTTCCATGATCAGGATATAATTTAGATTTCTCCCATAGAAACCACAGTGTTGGAAATGTAACAAACAAAATAACTACATGGAGAAAGCATGAGCAGACCCATGTCTACACATCAATAAAACCGTTTCAGTGAGAAACTAACTCCCCAAGGCAAACGCAGCCTGCTCCCGCCCTCTCTGGTACGGAACAGGGAAGGACTCAGAGAGCCCCAGTGAAGGACAGCGATTACACTGGAACAGCAGATGGGAAGCACGGCCTGGAAACCCCTCCGGGCTGGGGAAGGAGCCCTACAACCCACCCCACAGAGCTCCTACCCGGTGCAGCTGATTCCACGACTTCAGCACACATCCCAACTGCCCCCCTGCTAAAGGAGGCTTGGTTTTACCTGGCCCGGTCCTGGGCCTCCAGTCTGTTAGTGTCGGGGAAGAAGAGAAGTTGATTTAAGTTGGAGTTAGCCAAGTATGAGGAGTCAGAGCTGGAGCTAGCGGAGGGAACTCCACGTGCGCCCAAGGTGATGACGAGATCACACTCCAGGCTCAGTGTGACATGATCACGCTCCGGGTGCATGCCAAGCTGAGTGATTGCACGCCGTGTGTGGGATGAAGGAAGCAGGCTCGATTCTGCTTGGCCTGAGAGGCAAATTTGCATAAGCTGCAGAGTTTCCACAACCATGAAGTTGTTGTCTGCCAGGGGGACCACATTTCCCGGTTTTCTCCACCAAGACAGCCTGGCAGATTCTCAACAACACTGGTGAGCGCAGTGTCGAGTGTCAACACACCAGTGAGTGAAAGTGCTGGTGTCAACACACCAGTGTGCACAGTGCTGGTGTAAACCACAGCAGTGAGCACAGTGCTGGTGTCAACACACCAGTGTGCACAGTGCTGGTGTCAACACACCAGTGTGCACAGTGCTGGTGTCAACACACCAGTGTGCACAGTGCTGGTGTCAACCACAGCAGTGAGCACAGTGCTGGTGTCAACACACCAGTGTGCACAGT